ACGTAATTATATCCGGATTCTGAAGATCTTGACATACACGACTCTGACTTTCAGCCTGCAAATCACATTCCTCTAGGATAGAGTTTCTCATGTCTTGATCGGCGTGTAAACAAGCAGCAGATTGAAATCACAAGTGAAACAAACAGTAACAAATTAAAAGGACGGTAAGACGATGGGGTGGAGGGAGACGCCGGAAGCTAGTGTCTCACTTTTCCTCCGGAAGTTTCGACATAGTGGTTTCGCGGTGGCGGCGTTCAGTGGCTTATGGTTGAGGCGACGCTATTTGTCATTAGAAGAGGACGGCGCGCCTCATTATCTGAATAATTAAAGCTTATTATATGATGTAGTCGTGCTCGTTATCTAACCGGTTTCGTCGATGCGCGTCACAGATAAACTTATCTGTCGTGTAGGAGCGCTTGTAACGAATCAATTATATTACTTATGTAAGCGAGCACGCGGGTTTCACTTATCGTGGCGAAACTGGCGCTGAAACATTTCACGCTGTCCCGATAAGAGACCATTCGCATTAAAATTGCGTGGAAAACACAATCTACGGCGGTCGATCCTTGTCTGATCGTCTGTTTCGTCTCGTTTTGCTCAGCGCTGCTAAATGAAAATGGAAAATTTTCACGATAAACTATCATCTCTGTGCAACATTAACAATGTGACTATGAATCATGATTGTATAATGTTATATCGTGTGCAAAATTGGAAATTATGTTCCTTATTCTTCCTTTATTACCATAAGGACTAATAGTGTCTCATAATATAGGCTTAAGATGCTGAAGCTTATCGTATTATGTATTTTTAGATATACTTACTTTGAAAGGTACGAAAAGAGGAAATATTCCGTATTCTTCATACACTCCAGACACTGAAGTCGTTGAAGTATGGGACTCCGTGCTGAATAACAAAATCATTTATATACAAATTTTCCGTCTATTTTGAAAGGCACATCAATCATCATGCCAAAAGATGGTCATCCAAGGATTATCTGGTCGCGGGATTCAGTCCGAAAACCGCGAGCTGCAGTCTAGCAAAACTGTTGGACCGGTTTTTTCCCTCCTCCGTCCCCGAGATGATCGTCTGGAGGTATTCAGCCAATTCCCATTTCGCGTCGCCATGCATTTATGCTTGAATACAAAGTGCGAGAGGAGGTTCCCTAGAGAAAAAAGAAAAAAAAAAAGGAAAGAAAAAAAAAAGAAAGAAAAGAGAAGAAAAAAAAAGAGAAAGGAAGTGAGACAGTGAAGAAACGACGAATCAAAAGAAGAAGGGAAAAGGATAGAAGAAAGGGAAAAGGGAAACCGTTGGATTCTCCGTAAATCTTCCATGCGTGTAACTCTTCTGACGAGGAAGCCACGGCGCTCTCGTTGCGCGGAGCGGCCGGAGTTGTTTATGCTTTCCTGTGCAGCGCTTTCTGAAATATGCAAATCGCGAATTCGCATAATGGCGTTATCGTAGTAGGATGCCGCCGTCGGCGACGACGTCGAGATAGCTGAATCCGAGCGGGTCGAGCTCTTTCTTGACATCAAACGACCACCGCCGGCTCGCCAGCCCCATTGATTTGTCCCTGAAAAGAAACATCTCGGCGGGCTTTTCGTACAGCCGCGATAAATATATGATCTGCGAATCCGCCGAGTGATCGCTATGACTCACGACGATTCGACCACGAGGAATACCAAGTCGTTCGAAATATGAGGTCGATCGCTCCTCCGGCTTCGTCGTTGCCCGACGATCTTCTGTACTAGTCCTGCTGCCTGCTACATCTTTCGAGTTCATTTATTATACAATCCTGTTAGTCTACATTAATTCATAATTTCATAATTTTAGAATTTTATAATAATTATAATATTAATGGC